AACCTCAAGTATTGGACAAAATATAAAGTTTTCATGAATCACATCTGGAGAAAGACTTAGTTACAATCATGTTACAGACACACCAAACCTTTTCTCTACTCATTAGAGTTCAAAATCATCTTACACACACACACACACACTCACTCCATCTGATAATACTCATAATACAAACCCAAATCCCCCACCCGAAAAAAATCTATAAGAAGGGCGCGAGGGGATTAGGACTTCGAGGAGCCCTCGAGCTCCTAACCTCCTTGCACACATTGTCGAGCAAGCTCAAGAAATCCCTCACAATCACGAAAATCCGCAACGGGTTCGTCTCGTCTCTACTCACGTCCCCGTGAAAATACTCCGTAATCTCCCGAACGCGCGAGAAAACCCGAGCCTCGTCATCCCTCACTCCCCTCAACTCATCCTCCGCACGAATCAAGAATAGACACATGGACCCCACGAACCCTCCTCCGCCTGTTTTCTCACCTCCACCCTCCAAATTTTGAACGAGGTCACGAACCCGTTTCATGCCGTCTGTTAGATTCTCCACCGAGCTAGCCAAAACATCCAAGTCGATCGTGGCCGTTTTCTTGGCGTTGCTTAGCTCGGCGCTTAGGCCCGATATAAGATCAAGACCCATCAATTCTACGAAACATTCTTCCTTATTGTCCGACACGCATGGGCCCGTGAAGTGGATCCTGCCCATTATGCTTTCGGAAGCTCTTAACCCTTCGGACCGAACGATCTCCCGGACCACAAAATGGAGAAGGGTCGTTTTTCCATCTTTGCCCTTGATGTCGGCTAGCTTGAGAAGGGCATCGAGCTTGAATGCCTTTGCGCCTCCTCTTATAGTGCCGACGTTCATTCTGTTCCCGGTTTTGAGCACGGCTTCTAGAAGCTTCAAGAAGAGCCGGCTCGACCTTAGCTCCTTGCACGCGTCCTATGGGAAACAAACAATTTATTTTAGGGAAGAAAATTTATTGCACATTGTTTGTGTATAAATATTGTAAGTAATTAAATTAAACCTCGAGCATGGAGAACGATTTTCGGAGATGGAGGACCTCGTCTTGAAAGGTTTCCTTGTAGAGCATGGCCTCGATTCTCGAGAAGGCAAATGGTACTTCTAACATTGCTTTAACTAACTTCTCCGCGGATCCCAATTCGCTTGTTTTTCCTTTGTGGTCCGCAAGCTTAGCCTCTTCTTCCTTGGTTGGAACCATTTTCGATAGCGCTTCTAAATCTTGCAGCGACAAGCCATCGCCTTTTGTAAAAGCAACAAAAAATGCTTTCAGCTTAAACTTCTTGTTCGAACCGTTTGAATCAGAACTCCAATCTTATGATTTGGGCTTATCAGTTACTACTACCAAACCCATCTTACTAAAACTAGGAAAAATGCTGTTTTTCTCCGAACTACTCATTCAAAAAAGCTAACAACTAGAAGATCAACTTTTAGAGAATAAGATATTGCTCGATTTGATAGTTTTTTTACCTCGGATGAGTGCACCGCAAACTTGTTCGGCTGTGACATTCAAGGCTTTGGAGAGTATGGTGATGTTTTGAAGCCTTTTGGGCTCTAGAACGTGCTTGCTTGGAGACGGGGTTTTGCTTTTAACTTCATCATTCTTGATCGAGTTTCGAAGGTCATAACCGAAAAGCGACTCGATCATTTCCTCGTCAAATCTACCAAAACACAACAACATTTTTCTTTTTCTTTAACTCAAACCGACAAAAACAAAAGAAAAAAAAGGAGTAAAGCAAAGATGAACTAATAACTATCTCACTCGAACGAGCTCGATCGCATTTGGTCCCACACGGTTGACCGTTCGGGCCCGGCTCTGACTTTGTCCCAATGGAGCGGTTTTAGCTTCGGCAATGGAGACCCGTTTTTCCCGAGCGCCACTTTCTGTCCGAGAAGAGGCGGAGGAGGTGGCGGCGGCAGTCCAGCTGGCGAAACCGGAGGCTGACATGGCGGCGGCGGTGGTGGTGGTGGAGGAGGAAGAGGAACAGGTGGCGGCAAAATCGGCAAAGTTTTCGTTTGCAAAAAATATGGTTCTTCAACTCGATCCGATTTTAAGGTTTCGAGTGGATTATTAACAGAAGATTCCGAGGCATTGGATATTCTTGGCTCGAACGATTGCGAATCGGCAAAAGAATGGAAAGACTCTTCATCGGATGAATGAGCTTCATCTTGCTCCAAAATGCCACTCTCTAAATTCACGATATTCGTGTTCGAGCTCGATTTTTCGATCATAGGGCTCGGTTTAAACCGACATAAATCACCGTCTTCCTGTAAAGCGGATTCTAGCGAGTCGAGGTAAAAATGTCCGGAGCTGCTGCTTACCTTATTATTCGCCGAGCTATTTACAAGCTTCAACACATTTTTATTCCTCTGTTTTCTTCTCTGTTTCCTCCTCTGTTTTATCCTGAATCTCAAGAAAAAACCGAACAAACATAACAAACAAGCTGATAAAACAACACCCGAGACAATGGCTGCTGTAAGAACCGATCTTTTGTCGGCCTTTGCTCGTTTTTCGTCGTTTACAGCTGGCGGAGTGTGAAGGTGCCACGGTGGACGAGGAGCTCGTGCGGCTCGAGAAGGCAATGCCGAATGTGAATGTGAAGGTGAAGGTGAATGTGAAGGTGAAGGTGAAGGAGAAGGAGAAAAACAAATGGGTTTGCCATTTATTCTTGAATTTTCGCCATTCTTGAAAGTGTCGGGAGCTAGTAAAGATCTCAACTTTTCAAAGATCAATGCCTTTTTTCGATCCGGGTTTTCTTCATTGCCCGAGGATTTTTCGATAAACATCATGTGGGTGCAGTAGAAAGAAAGAAGAAAGAAAACGAGAACGAAAATCGAGCAAATCGTACGAGAATCGCGACCCATTTCGAAATCATTGTGAAAGATCATCACAACTTTTCCTTGGCCTATATAGCAATTTCATCTTTAAAATGAATGGAAAAAAAAATGCATGGAAGGTTAGTTTGTGGTTGTGGATGGTGTGTAAAGAAAAAAAAACCTGAATAAAAATAAAATAAAATAAAATATGAAGATGCAAATGTAAAAGTCTTTAATGTTACTCCAAGGAACACATGAACATGGCAGTTGCAGCAGCAAGGTTTGTGTACTGCTCTAAGTACCTCAATTTATTACAGTCATTGCTTATTCAATATTCATTTACAAATAAAGATAACATAAATGTATCTATAATTTGGTTATGATTGATTCTAATCTTTTAATGTATTAAAAAAAAAACAACTTTTCATTATTATTATTTTTTTTTTCTTTCTTTAAGCTTGAGGTATATATAATTAGTCATTTTTTGTGAGGTCATGAGAATATGTTCATTACAGTGCAAAGGAAAGGAAAGATTCATGAGCTTGCATTTGAATGGAGCTTTTATGAGGCTAAAAGTGATGATCCAAATCTAAACAAAAAGTAAGTGTGTGTGAAGTATTTGGTGTATGGAGTGGGGTCATAATTGGTTAGGTTTGGTTTAATGTGATAGTGCCTAGTCTCCTACCAATTAAAATATAAAAATACTTATTTTATTTATTTACTTCTATTTTTGAGGGAGACATATAATAATATAGATAATGTTCCCCTATCCACGGTGGGCACATGTTCATATGCACACCGTTTATGTGGCATTCAAACATTAGTGATGTTAATATGTTCAAATAAATACGTCATCAATGTGTGCATGCCACGTAAGCGGTGAACATATTAACATGTGTCCACCGTGGGTAGGTGAGCATTACTGATAATAATAATAATAGTAATAGAGCAGCATCATCACTATCATGTGATCTTCACTCCAACTTTTGAGCCTAATATTCCTAATTATGAATGTTTTTCCAGCATAATTATCAATTTCTCCTATTAGAATTTTTAGAATCCATAAAATTTTTTTGTTATCAATTTTTTAAAAAATAATATGTTCCATTTGTAATCTTTTAACGAGATTCGATTTAATATCGCATTGCATATTTTAAAATACGGAAAAGTTATGACTATTTTATAAACGAATTTAATATCGCATTGCATATTTTAAAATACGGAAAAGTTAAGACTATTTCATAAACGAGTTTTAAGAGTAGCAAGTGTCATTTTAAACAAAATTAATAATGCATTTTTTTTTTCAAGAAGTACTGGTAATTTAAAATAATTATTTTATTTGAATTTGGTAAACCTTCTATGTAAATTTCTTAATCAACTTGTAATGCTACTAGTTTTTTTTTTTGAGGTCTGTAATGCTACTAGTTTTAATATAACTTGTAAATTTTGTAATTAAATTAAAGAGCATCTCCAATGCTTAGATGTAGTTGTAGTAAATTACACTCTACATTAACATATTTAGCAATTTATCCACTTTTAATCTTTCAATGCACAATGTTATTACAAATGTAGTGATAAGGTGGACATAATTAACGTCTACAATGTAGAGAAGAATGTGGTTCATCCACATTCTCATTCACATTCTACTCAACCAATGGAGAGAGAAGAGAGAAATATCATTACTATTTTCAAAATATCTAATTATGTTTATATTTAAAACAAATTTATTTTGGCTAAGTGAACAATATTATGTTTGATTATATTATCCATTGGAGTCACGGTCAAACTAAAGCTCGAGTCGAGCTCGAGCAAACGAGTTAAGTCTGGAGCATCATTTCAAGAGGCTCGTAATACCATATATAATTTAATTATTAGAACTTCAAGGCCAAAAGTGTCAAGTTAGATTAAAAATAGTACCTTTATATTTAAATTTAGTTATCAAAATTTCTAAGCAAACTTGAGTCATGTCGAGCAATGGGTCAAGCTCGAGCATTCTTATTTTTGTTCACGAGTCGAGCAACATTTTACATGTCTCGTCGAGCTCGAGCAAGAAAGAAAAAAGTTCAATCATATGCACTCGACAAGTTTAACGCTCAACTCGACTCGTTTGCAGTCCTAGTTCTGGTTAATTGTTTGAAGGAAAAGCAAAATAATAATGATGACAGATATAGTTATTAGATAGTAACACAGTAACACTCACTAGGACATAAATGAATTCAGCTCATCCTTCATATAAGCCATTTTCCCACAAAGAATCAAAGTTAACTGATGCCAAGCAACAATATATTCCACCACACCATAAGAAAAATGCATCTTTGATCTATACTTGTTCATGCCTCTAGAATTTATGCTGCAAATACATACATTCTGCAGGAGAAACTGGAGCCAGTTTGATTACTCCCTTACACACCCGATGCGCAAAAAGACGATCTTGCCCTCCACTCGACAATCTTCAACACCTCCTCATAACTCATGTCGATCGTCTTACATCTGCTCAGAATCTCCAATAATAAGACCCCCGAAACTATAGACACTGAATCTGGTCGCGAGGCGGTGAAATTTCGAGAGCATTTGTTCAATCACGAAAGCAAATCTAGCTCGGTCAAGAACTCTTTACCGAGTCATGAGATACAACGGCCTGTTTGACTCGCCATGCGAGTCCCGTTTTCAAGAACCCCTTCGTACAAAGCGCGAGAAACTACCCTTCTTGAGATCATAATACGCGAACTCTCAGGATGTTTTTGATCTCGAGCACGTCCAAA